GACCCGGCTGTCTGGACCCGGCTGTCTGGGCCCAGTGGCGGGGAAAAGGTCCGGTCGGTCAGATCACCTCCAGAAACTCGTCCGCCATCTTTTCTCTCTGGACTTTTCAGAACCTCTGATCTGTTTTCTTTACTTTCTGACTTCTGTTTAATTTATGAGACCCAATCTGATTAAATTCTATAATTGCCTTGTATGGGAACTCACTTTTTATTATTAAACCTCTGTTTAAATACTGACTCTATATATGAAATATTTTAATATAATAGGATTTGGGAAATCTTTAACACAGGCGTGACGAAGCCATTCTGATCTTTTAATCTGCTTATTGATACTTGTATATTGAACAGACTGCATTATGTAAAGGAGAAGAAATGCTGATGATTTTAGTATGAATAAGTTGAAATGGTTGCTAAGAAAATAAACAGTTTGGGACTTTTTACATGTAGTTTGTGTTTTAGTTTAACAATTACGTTTATTGTGGAGTTATAAGTTCCAGGTTCATTGAAATGCAGTTTATATGCTACCTTAGATGATCTGGAGTTAAAAATAAAATGGAAATGGCTTTGAATTTAAAGATCTTCATGTCAAACAGATCCTTTCGGATCACTGATCTGGGTCGGGGTACCTGCAGATCCTGAATGAATACATGAAAACTTCCTGGACCTCCAGAGTAACTATGCTCTGAAATAAGATCTCTGAGTAATGAAAGTCCATTCAGTTTTCTGGTGAGCAGCAAATGCAGATTCATGTATTTATTCACCATTTCCTGGGAATTATGAAGCTCTTGGAGCCAAAACAATAATTACTCTTCAAGCTTTTCCAAAGCCAGTCATTCATACATTTTCTGTTTTTGTTTCAGGTGTTATTGTTTTTGCAGGTCATACTGGCTGAAGTTATATCTGTGTTGAACTGCAGCAGGATGGGAATCATTGAGTCCAAACTGCGGGACATGCAGGCGCAGAGAAAACTGGGCTTCATCACAGAAACAGGAAGGGCGGCATGTCACGTGTTCTCCGCGACCCTCATCACTGCCTTGTAATGCGCATGCGCACCGGAAGCGGCACCAGAAAGCGCAGCTGCGTTCAAGTTGCTCCGCTGGGAAGGAACTTCCAAAGCTCCGATTTCCCAGTTAAATACGGAGAAACGAGAGTAAAAGCTGAGGCTGACTTCACGTCACGGCCGCTGCTCACATCAACAGGCTGTTTAATTATACGAGACAAACCGTCTGAAATCCCTATTATTGTTGCTCCTTCAACTATTGACTGAACAAATTGAAAGTAGTGCTTGGATGCGCAACTTCATGCTTAAACTGTTTGGAACAGGTGCCGCACACACACGGTCAGGGTTGAACCCGGGTCTGACGTCACACCACGCTGATTCACGCGCATTTCCCAGGTATCTTGAACGCAGCATACCGACAGTATGCATCAGTGTGCATGTTTGCAAACTGACGCAAAGTTAAGAACAACAAACGTTTTCTGCTGCTGGTACAACTTTGATTATTTTCTGTTTATCTTCGGTAGGAATTTATGATTTGTGTATCGAGTTTAGTGTTTTATTATTTTTGTGTTTCTCCCTGGCAATCTAATTTTTAAGATGCACAATTTATTTTCCACAATGTATTTTGCCAAATAATCCCGAAAGCAGTATTTCCATGTAGTGGTGGGGCATTTTGAACATTTTATGAATTGTCTTTATTTCATTTTTTCATCTTGTGTAAAGGTTGTGATTTTTAAGAGGCTCTTGATGAGGCTCTTTGGTAAACGAGCCTCATCTGAACGCGTCTTACACTTAATGAATAATGATGAAGATCCATCGCCTCCTGAGTTGAAGGTAATGGGATTCTCCTCCTGGTGTCTCACCTAAAACAATAAAAATGAAAATAAAATAAAAAGTTGTTTTCTGTGCTGGAGGCTGTGACCCTAACCCTAACCCCCTAACCCTAACATGGCAGCAAGTGTCATTTATGAAAGTTGGTTGTATTTTCAGAGAAAAAGGAAAGTAAAGAAAATGTACAACCAACGTAATTATGGCAGGCAGTTTTAACATAAAATCGGATGAGTCTGACTATTTGCAACCATAATCGTAATTACATTATAGATATAATGTAATGATCAAAACTACAATGAAATGTATCTCTAACTTAATTTGTCATAATTACGTCAGAGATATCTTAAATGATAATAACAGATTTGTCCCATTAGATAAGTCATTTGGGATTTTTTGAAACAAATTTTGATTCGTCAAAATATAAGTAAAGATATTTTGAACTATTATTGTTACCTGTCAGAATGTAAAGACAGATATCTTAAATTAACATTCAGAGATCAGAGCAGAGATCAGATCAGACCTGAGATCAGATCAGAGCAGAGATCAGAGCTGAGATCAAACCTGAGATCAGAGATCAGACCTGAGATCAGAGCAAAGATCAGACCTGAGATCAGAGATCAGACCTGAGATCAGAGATCAGACCTGAGATCAGAGATCAGATCAGAGATCAGACCTGAGATCAGAGATCAGACCTGAGATCAGAGATCAGACCTGAGATCGGAGATCAGAGCAGAGATCAGATCAGACCTGAGATCAGAGATCAGAGCTGAGATCAGAGATCAGACCTCAGATCAGAGATCAGAGCAGAGATCAGACCTGAGATCAGAGATCAGAGCAGAGATCAGACCTGAGATCAGAGATCAGAGCTGAGATCAGAGATCAGAGCTGAGATCAGAGATCAGACCTGAGATCAGATCAGATCAGAGATCAGATCAGAGATCAGACCAGAGATCAGAGATCAGATCAGAGCATAGATCAGACCTGAGATCAGAGATCAGAGCTGAGATCAGAGATCAGATCAGAGATCAGAGCTGAGATCAGAGATCAGAGCTGAGATCAGAGATCAGACCAGAGATCAGATCAGACCTGAGATCAGAGATCAGACCTGAGATCAGATCAGATCAGAGATCAGAGATCAGACCTGAGATCAGAGATCAGAGCTGAGATCAGAGATCAGACCTGAGATCAGAGATCAGACCTGAGATCAGATCAGAGATCAGATCAGAGATCAGACCTGAGATCAGATCAGATCAGAGATCAGATCAGAGATCAGAGCTGTGGTGGTGGATGTGTGATGAACTACGGAGCAGAAAGCTGAAGTCTTTCTCCCTTCATCCTGTGGTGCCTCAAATTACTTCAATCGATGGTAGCCACACAGGCTCACCCGCTATAGGAAACAAACGCACCCAGTACAACACTCTCATCCTATTGGCTGAGAGGTTGCCAGGTGAGCAGAGAGGTTTGCTGGCGAGAGGACAAAGGTTTGAGAATATTAGAAGGAGAGCAGAAGTCAAGATGATCCTGCTTTCAAGCTGAAAATGTGGGCTCTGGACTTACAGCAGCAACATTTCCTCATATCATCAGCGAACACTTTTAACATCTTAAGTGTCCAGAAATGCGAAGAAAAGCCATTTGAAGGATGAAACCTTTCAAATGCTTAAAGATTTGTTAAAAACTAATCTGATATTTTTCTGTTATTTAAATACCTGCTACAGTTTTACACATTGTGTCGACTTTTGCAAAATGTGCAAAGATCGACAGATTTTGCAAAGTGTCGACCTTTTTCCAAGAAGAAAACCATGACAGCCATTGAGGACGTGGCGCTCTGATCGGCGTGACTGTCCTTGGAGCTGCTGCAGCTGCTGCAGCTACTGCTGCTGCTGCTGCTGTCAGCTGGAGAAAAATTTAAAAAGGAGCTGAATCTGCAGAGGAACATCAGATGGAAGATGAGCAAATTTAATTTCTCTGTAGTTTTAGGCAGCGGTTGAGATTTGTCTTATTTTTTCCACCAGAACCTGAAAAATGAGCCACTATTTGCTTAAATGATGTTCATATCAAGCTTGCCTAACCTAACTAGCAGAAATTTTTTTGTTTATAGATCCGAGAGGATTTATGGTTGAGGTGTTCTGTGTTTTCAGGCATGTTTTGCCATTTTATAGCAGAATCCAGTAATTACGCTGAATTCAGTTCTTATAATAATGCTGTGTATGGAAATCCCATCAGTTTTTTTTTTTTATCAAATGCTGGGATTTGATTGGCTTAAAAACATTAGGCAAAATGAAAAATTTTATTCACTTTTTATTTACATGAAAAAGAATCAAAGCAAAATGCCAGGTATGTTTCTTATAATAACATAACATGATGTAAAGCTGAAACTCCCCTTAATTCTCTGAAAGTAGAAGAATGTAGTATTAAAGTGTTCAGAAGTCAAATTCACAAGTAAACCTGTAAAATATATCCCTAGTCAAGTGAAACAATGGAGATAGTAACTCAAACCTCAATGGGATTAATTTGATAATTCGTCGAGCTTTTGTTTCTTTGCAACTCTTAAAATGTAGCTGTAAATATTTATGTTTTTTATTACAGGTGTACTGCAGATAATGTAATGGATGTTCAAACTAACTGAAACATGCAGAGCTTCATACACTGAAACACTCATCTGCTTCAATGTGCAGACTGCTGATGCTGTATTGCAACTTGTTTGTTTCATGACTTATTGATTTAATGTATAGCTTGCTTTGATTGAATTGTGAAATCATTGAAACATGGAAGTTACAGAAAGGTATCTTTTTTCATAAACTGTAATACTGTAAACAGAACAGCAGTTTTGTTTTTATTTGGTTTGTCTAGCTATTGGGGAGGCAAAAATAAAATGTGTTTAAAAATGTTGACTATCAAATGAGCATTTTTATGGCTATTTGTCTCCATAGTTTTTGAAAAACATGCAGTAAAGCAAAGAAATGATGACACTTGAATCAGTTTTTGGTCACAATTAAACAAGAACAAGAAACAGTAAAATTATGACATAAAATCTGGGAAAATAAAAATGTTTTCAAAATCTTCCAGTCAGCAAAACTAAACGGACTCATATTAATTTTTTCTGTTTTTTCTGGGTTTTTATCCGCTGAAAGCCTTCAGGCATCCTTCAGGCAGATGTTCCTGTGAGGCAGCGTTCAGGGAAAAACAACAACTTCCTGCGTCAGTCCCGTTGTCTCCTTTTGATGACGTCATCCCCGTGCGCTCGGCCCTCCATTCTGTGGCGCTTTCCGTGAGGGATTAAGCCGTTAGAAGCCTTTGTTGCGCCCGCAGCGCGGCTCGGCTCCTGCGCTGTGACCGGGAGGAGGCGGCTGGTGCTGGGCATGGAGGCCGCGGAGGAGAAGGCGGGCTCCATGTCTGCGGCTCAGCTCCGGCGGAGAAACGCAGGAGGAAACTGCTGCTCAACTCGGAGGACAGAATGAACAGAATCGTCGGATACACGAAAAACGAGCCGGATCACAGCGGTAGGCTGATTAATGATCGTTTTTAAAACGCTTTGGACGATAAAATGCATCAGAAATTAAACCTGTATCTGACCTGTCCACACCTGGATTAGTAGGAAGAAGGAAAACGTTTTTAATCACTAAACAGATTCTGCAAGTGAAATGAACTGAAACGTGAACCAGGGCCGGACGGAGGAGGATTAGGGCCCTGGGCTACAGATGGTTTTGGTGCCCCATCAAAACAAAAGAAGCATTTCCCCCCCCCCCCCACGCTTTACAGTAAAGGGTAGAAATATACATCAGCAGGTCGCTCCAAGTTAGTGCAACACCTTGAAATCATCAGTAAGCATTTTAATGGCTAGAGGTCAACAGCATCTGACCTTTAGTCTGAGATTTATAGCAAAGGATGCATCTGCAGCTAAAACATCCTTCTAACAGGGAAAGACTGAAGTCAGTACAGTGCAGAGATGATCTGGAGATTATTTTTATTCATAATCGGATAGTAAAAGGAGATAAAAAGATTTTTTCAAACAGAGTTTGAACCAGAGAAAACAAAAACCAACCTAGTTGAGGAGTTCTGGACAGAACATGTTCTGTTTTTTAGAGTCTCTATACTCCAGTTAACTATTAGTGGATGATTATTTGAATAATGAGTTCATCACATTTACAAAGAATTGAATCATATTTTTCATCTTGTAAAATGTTGAGTTTTTTGCCATGTAGGGTTGCAATCAAAAAATCAAACAAAGTCCAGAAGTTATAGATCTCTTATTCGTTTTATCTTTTTGTTCAAAAACATTTCCATCCAGTTACAGCATGACAGGTTCACACACAAGAGGGAGAGACCCTTCTGATCTAACACACCTGCCTTTTAAAGCATTGGCTCTTCCTTGACTAATTAAGGGGTGGAGTCAACACTTACAAGTGAAAACAACATTTGTACTTCACTATATTTCTAGAAAGAAATTTACATTTCAACTAACAATCTTCAAACTAAAACAAAAACAATCTGGGCCCCAAATTAAATCCAAGCACATCTCCCTTCCCTCTCAAACAACAGATTCTGAGGTTGATTGAAACACCAGCACTGCTCATGGGCGCGCTTCCATGGCAACACCTGACCAGGTGACCTCAAAGAGAAGAAAAATGATTAAAACAAAAACACCAAACAAAGCAAGTTGCTTCCTCCAAACAAAATACAGTTAATAAATAAATTGGAATATAGCAGCACAAACACATCACCTTTTAGGGAGGGGTAAATCCCTCACATGCCATTACAGGTGAAAAAAGTTAAATTGTCTCCATTCGTGTTGCTGTCTGCAGCAGCCGGCCTGCGACCCGCCGAGCGCTTCCACCTGGACCTGGACAGGTCAGAGCCGTGGTCCTCGCCTTCGCCCAGGCCGTCTCCCTTCCTGTCGGAGGCGCCAGGCGCCCGCTCCCACACCGCCACGCCCGAGAGGCGGGGCTCCCCGCTGCCGGACTTCGGCCAGCCTCGCAGAGCGTCTCTGGAGGGCGACGTGGGCGGCCTGCGCCACAGAGCGAAGGCGGAGCGGCCGTCAGACGAGGCCGGCGGCTCGCCACGCCGAGGCCTGCACCAGTACTTGTCTCGCTTTGATGACGCCATGAAGCTTCGGAGCCAGCTGGCCAATGAGAAGCCGGAGCAGGACGGCGGTTCTGACGTGGAGGAGTTCGATCCGTTTCGGGTCTTCAGGCTCGTCGGCAGCGTCCTCCTCGCTGTTTTCGTCAGAGTTTTTGTCTGCAAGTACCTGGTGGGTCAGCCTGCTGCAAACATGGAGCTCCAGGATCCAGCTTATGATTTTATCAACTCTCAGGGTTTTTAATACGATGCATGTTGAGGGCCACACTAGTGAAGAGATAAAAAATGAAAACACAAGAAGAAAGCCATAATATCACAGGAATAAAGTCGTAGTAATATGAGAATAAAGTCATAACATTGTCATAATTTAACTTTTTGCATTTTCTAATGCTGCATTGATGCACAGAAAAACTCATTTTCTCCTGTTTTTTTCTCCTCCAGTCAATATTTGCTCCATTTCTGACCCTTGAACTCGCCTACATGGGATTGTCAAAATACTTCCCAAAGGTAAGTCACTTTTTAATGTTTTCTTTTAACTAAATGTAAATAATACATAATTGAACCTCATGGTAGGTCAGGTAGTTTATCACCACTAAACTGGAATATCATAAATGAAAGAATTTCCACATTTCTTATGACAAATTTAAGTTAAACTTAAGATTTTCTGAGGAAATGAAGAAAATAAAAAATCTGTGATCAAAACGTTTTGTTTAATGTAATTTTGTTTATTCAAAACAAATCCAATTTATTTGAAATTAATCTGAAAATACACAACAAATCAAAATTACACCAACATATTTGAGTCACACAGACAGATTAAAAACTTTTGAGTCAGTTTTAGCTTTCAATTCTCTTAACGTTAGTTTTCTCTGAATGACTCTTTAAACATATTTTTCAGTTTGTTGATCAACTGCAGGATATTTTTCTGCTCCTTCAGGTGGAGAAGAAAACCAAAACCACAGTTCTGACGGCCGCCCTGCTGCTGTCCGGCATCCCGGCCGAAGTCATCAGCCGCTCCATGGACACGTACCGCAGGATGGGCGACGTCTTCTCTGACCTCTGCGTCTACTTCTTCACCTTCATCATCTCCCACGAGATCCTGACGCTCTTCGGCTCAGAGACGCCCTGACAGAACAAAACCACACCTCCTTCTTCTTCCCCTCCTCATGCCGATGAGGCTTACTCGTTTGCGCCCCCTGGTGTTTACATTCTGCTGCCTTATGTTGAGGCTGCACCCTGGATCAGAGCTCTTCAGCTCTAATCAGTCCAATGTTCAAACCTGCATGTTGATTTCACTGCTAACAGAAACTTTGGAACAGGTTTCACGTTTTGATTTTGTTTACATACCAGATCCATGTTTATTAAAACCAATATTTCAGGCACAGAACACTGAAAAAAACACAATCTTACCTAGTATTTTCATCTAGTTTCCAGTACAAATATTTTAATAAACTTGAATTAATACAAAACTAACTTACTAGTAAGTTTTCAGTAGCTTGTTTTGAGTAAATGTTCACTTGATTTTGATGAAAACATTCCAGGTCCACTGGCAGATTATTTAACTTAAAACATAAGAATTTCCCCTTGAGGGCAATAAAGCAATTTGAACTATAAATGATCGTCATTGTTAGTTATTAGAAACAAACAGATGCTGCACTGCAAAAACACTAAATCTTATCAAGTAGATTTCTCTGGTTTCTAGAGCAAATATCTGGATCCTTGAAATAAGACAAAGCTAGCAATAAACTGCGGCTTATTTTAGGTTAATCCTAAATATTGATTTTAAAACGGTGTTATTTCCACTGGCAGATTATTTCACTTATAACATTAAAAAATGTCTTTTTATAAGAGAAATAATCTGTCAGTGGAACCAGAACATTTCATTGATATTTAGGAATTATTAACTTAAAACAAACTTTTATATCTGCTGAAATGTGACAAAACAAACCCAATTTATGAGTTAGACAAAACTAACTTTTCATCACTTGTAAGTTAGTTTTGTCTAATTTTAAACGTAGTAAGATATGTGCACCGGAAACTAGAGAAAAATACTTGGTGAGATTTTGTGTTTTTGCAGTGACTGAGTTTAATGGGAGCTCATTAAAGGATTAAAATCATAAATAACAGACAGAAGGCGTGACATGGTCTTCAGAGAATATTCTACTGTTACATTAAAGGGGAAATATGACCATTTTATGATTTATAATTTGTTGCATAAACCATTTCATTAGAAACTGGTGGGGCGGCCATTTTACTTGGAGAAATGTGTCATTATTTTAATCTGTTAGTCGAGGAATAAATGAGCAGAAATACTTTGCGCTGTCTTCATGCTTAGCATAACGTTAGTAAAGAATGTGGAAGAAATGAAGGAAATTAGATCTGACTCTATGATCTGTTATTGTTTACTTCAGCATTAAAACCAGAGGGACGTTTTCTGTTTGGGTCATTTTCGCTCCATCCTTCAGTTTAAAGCCATTAAAAGCAGTCGGTTCATTGGTGAATGTAAAATATGCGTCAGCATGATGAACAAGGTTTTCTGTTTCTGACTAAGCATTTTGCTGTGAAACATATGAACATAAAGTGAGTGTTGCATTGTGTGTTTGTGAGCATAAAGTTCCATGTTTGGTGAACTGGTGGGTTTTGTGAACTTCCTTCAAGCTTTTTGTACAGTATTTTCTCTGCTGTCCTTGCTCCTATTTAATCCTAAATTAATTTATTAGTGCTGTTTTTTTTCATGTAAATGCATTGGTGTGATTTATTCTACAGCTTATCTGCTCTTTCCTATTTTTTGATCAATTTACTTAGACAGTTTTTAATGGTTGTTGTTTTGCTGAGATTGTGTAAAAGCGATGTTTCAAACTGAACAACTCATACCAAATAAATGACCCCTTGTCTGACTTATTCTCTAATTTTCTGTTACTTGTCTAATTTAGGGAATGAACTGAGATTAATGGGGTTCTAGCAACACTTTATAAATTTATTCTTCATCTTGACGATGGCTTGCAGGTCATGAAAAACCAAATATCTGATCAGAAAATTAGAATATTTGAATAAAGTTCAATACTGGAAACTCATGGTGTCATTTGTTTATAACTGCCTTATATTCATAATAACTAACCACTTTCCATCACTTTTCTTTATTAAACCACTGCAGTGTAATGCTTCCTGCTTCTTATTCTATATTCTCCTCATAAAACACTTTGAACTGCCTTATTGCTGTGATATGCAGTAAAAATAAACTTGCCTTGTGTTACATTTACGCTTAAAATGTTGAATCCTCGTGTAAATCCAGAAAAGTTTTGGGTTTTCATTATTTGTAAATCATTATAATTAAAATGAAAAGGAACAAAGGCTTGGGTGAAGATGATGAAAATGTACATTTGTAATTTGCCAAATAAAATAATTAGATTAATTGCCAGTCTTGTGCCTGTTTTAGTATTCATATCATTAAAACCATAAATAATATGCTCATACTAGACAGAAAATGCGACAAATTTTCAAGTTGTTGCATTCTTTCCAAAATCTTCTTGTTATATGACAAATCCAGAAGAAATGACTGATTGTTTCTTGATGCTTTTTGCATAACTCAGTTGTCTATAGTTTTAATACATTTGATACTGTATTGACTAGTTGGATAAAATCTGTGTAACAGTGTAAAGGAGACATCTCTTATTTGGCTATTTATCTAAATTTCTGATTAAATGTCCAGACCTTTTCCCACAGTAAATCAGGAATAAATCTGCCGATGTTTTTTACGGCCTCCGAACACGAGGGGGCGCTCGCTCTATTTTTACCACATGCTTGTCGCAGGTTTCATACGTTTCTGCGACACAAACAAACCATCGTCTGCATTCGAGACGCATTAGTTCCTTTAAATCAATTTGACCTTCATCTAGTGAAACTGAGTCGGAATGGGACGTGAGTCCAGGCGAGTCTACACGTTTCTTGCCTAATTAATGTTTTAATCGTTGAATTGGCGGTTTTATGTAATATGCTAACATTAGCATGCTAGCTAAAGCGGATGTTGTTGCACGTTCTCTAGCTATCAAACTCTTGCTGCTTAATATTAGGCAAGTTATGATTGTCTTTGGAAGTGAAGCCGTTTGTCATGTTGCTCCTGCGCCAACAGACACTACAGGAAGCGCTCAGCGTCCCGCGGCCGGTCGGGCACCCGGTCCAAGAGTCGCTCCCCGGACAACAAGCGCTCAAAGAAAGAGGACCGAGACCGCAGCAGGCGGGACCGGTCCCGGAGCAGAGACCGCCGGAGGTCCCGGTCCAGAGACAGGAAAAGAGCCCGGTACGTTCCGGCCACAAAATCCACTTTAAGATTCATGTTTGTCACAAAACGTAAAGTTTATGTGACTTTCAGGTTCTGTATGCAGAATTTTGTTTTATTCGAGTTTATGTTGGTTTTATTTCTATATATTCAGTAATTCGTTACAGTTTGGTTAACTGAATATACTTCTGAGTACTTTATTCATTTTTCAAAGAATTTACTGCAGTTTAACTTTAAAAGTCAGTGTGATTTTTTAAAACGTTTGCTATATTTGAATCAAGTCTAATCTAATAGAGTTTCTTTAATAATCAAAGTTTAGGAAATAAAGAGTAGACATGTAGACCAAACAAATTACACAGTAAAATGTAAGTCATAAATGTAAGTAAAATGCACAAAAAGTTTACATCTGTGACCTCGGTTACCACCTTAGTTATGTGTGAAGAACCTTAAATCCTCTGGTGTTGTCTTTTTACCAGATCACACATAAGTTTGTAAAGAAAATGATCAGAGGCACTGATGCAAATTAACCACAGTTTATTTAATCACAATAATGCTAGGCATAAATAGTCAATTCATTTTTATTGTACAATATCAACCACTTTAAAATCCTAAATCTATGCTGGCCCTGGAAACCTTACCGCTGATGACCAGTTACTCTCATTAAATAAAATCAGACTGCTTGGGGGAGAAATAATAATTAAAAAAACAAATGTAACTGAATACACCTAGGTGTTCCCAAACAAAAACACACTCGCACAACAAAAGAAAAACTCCCGGTGAATAACACAAAACAAGAAACTCCCCTTCCACTAGTCTCCTCAATCTAGATAAAACAGCTTGGAACCAGGGACAGCACAGGTTATCTACAAGCGAGCCTGGAGGGCTGAACAATAAAAACTCCCAAAAGAATAAAAAGTTTAATCCATAAATAACCAAAACAAACTAAAACCGAAACAAACTAAAACCGAAACAGTAACAGGCCAACCTGCACACAACAGAGAATAAAATTAAACAGATATTTTAAATAACCACATAATAATGAACTGCCTTTACCTTCGCTAAAAGCTAGCAGAACTCTGTATATCCTCTCCAAGAGGAGGTTTCCTGCAATAAAATGGAGCCATCAGAAATAATTCTCAACCCAGCGCACACTTCATGTTAACCATACCTGCAGAGAAATCAGCCTGGACTCTCACCCTCTCAGCGATCTACCCGCTTTTAAATGTAAATACCGATTGCTTGCCTCCGTAATGAATCAGCTGCGCTAAAACAGCGTCTTCCTTATATGGGCAACCGGAAGAGTGCATAATGGACATAATGCCCCGGCTACACATCTATTTGAGTAATTATGCAGATAAACTGTAAATTAATGCTTAATTTTAAAAGTTGTGAAACTAGACTGTACAAAAATAAAAATGTATTTGTAAAACACGCCCCTTTCTTTTGAAGTTAAAAAGTGTCATATTGGATTATAAATGCAATCAAAACTTCAGACAAAATTTTTTTAATTATGAGTAAAATAGGAAGTCATAAATAACAGTTAAAAATGTTTTCAGTGCAATGAAAGTGAAATCATTTCACTTTTAATGACCGTGATAAAAAGTGAATATTTTTAAAATGCTGATAGTTTGCAGTATTATTAGACGGAGCTATTCCTCCTGACCTCTGCAAACTGAGGAGCAGAAAATCAACGACTTGTTGAATTCCACCTTTGATGGAAAGAAAATCTGTTTAAATTTACAGCAGTATGAGAGCAGCTGCCTTCATGTGGTATATTTTATTTCTTATCTGATTTCTCTGACCCTGTGACTGTGTCCGGTGACCAGGCGGTCCCGGAGCAGAGACCGCAGGAGGTCCAGAAGCCGGGAGAGGAAGAGATCGCGCAGCCGGAGTCGAACTCGCAGGTCCCGAACTGGCAGCCCGGCAAAGAGCAAGAAGTCAGATGAAAAGTGAGTTTTTAATTTTCTGGGACAGAAAAGCTCGCAGCGTTTCATTCCTCCAGGCTGCTGGAAACATTTCATCCCAACTGGTTTCCAGTCCTAGCAATTACTGATAAGAAATCAATCAATTAAAAGCTCAATAATGTTCATTCTGATGAAGATTCATTTTGCCTAGACAGACATTATAATCCATGTTATTTATGGTTTCTGTTTCATTCATTGTTTTTCATTATTATGTTTAATTTTGCATATTTAAAATAATTTCCTGTTCAGTATAAAACGTTTTACAATAAAGGTTTGAGATGGTGAACTTGCATTAATGTGCCATTATCATCATGTTCCAAAACAACAATATTATATTTATTTTACCTGTCAGTAAAATATTTTGATGCATCATGAGATAAATCAGAGATGCTCAAATCTGACTGTAGTTTGATTCTAATCCTCATTTTGGGTGGAAAACTTTACAACATTAGAGATTAAGGAACTTGCATAAAACCAATCTGTTGATGTGAATTTTTCACACTTCAATTTAGTAGATTACTTAATATCATATATTATTTTAAATATTAACTTACAAAGAGACTTGAAATGGTTCAATAAAGGAGAGAAAGAAAGCCATCAAAACTGCAGATGTGCCATAAATGTGATGAATTTTAAAGAAACTTGTGAAATTTGTCAAACTGCAATGTTGTTTTGTTTTCTTAGAGCCAAGAGCAAAGAAAAGGAAAAGGAGAGTGTCGAGCCAGTTTCCGAGAAGAAGAAGGTGAAAGAGGAGAAAGAAGATGAGAAGGTGGAGGACGTAAGTTCAAAAGTGTGTTTCCCAGATTTTATTGACCTCAGATGTTCCCCTCATGATGGCTGGAAAATCTGATCATTTCTTGTCTTTGCAGCAAGATTTTGACCAAAACAAACTGGAGGAAGAAATGAGGAAGAGGAAGGAGCGTGTGGAGAAATGGAGGGAGGAGCAGAGGAAGAAGGCCATTGAAACATTGGAGAGATAAAAAAAGAGCTGGAGGAAATGAAACAGGGCAAGAAATGGAGCCTGGAGGACGACGACGGTAAGGATAAAAAACCAGGAAATGTACCCAACGTGGGAATATTTATGGGAATATTCGACATCCCTTATGTTTTTAGTTGTTACTAAAAATAAAACCAATTTACTTGGAAGATGAAACTTTATATCTGACAAATATTTTTCACCTACAAGGTAACTTTTGTTTTAAAATGTCCACTGCCATGCCACACTTTTCAGATTTGAATTTGGAAATCAAAATTGAAACCAACGTCTCATTTTTTCTTCCACAGCAAAAATATGCATCGTTTTTCAGGACTGAATCCATTTTTGAAATAATTGTCAACTAATTTGGTCATCGATTAATCATTAACTAGAGAATACACTCAAAAAAATAAAACATTTTAAAAAACGGCCATTTGCAGAAAAACCAACGTATTCAGAGCAATAATTGATTCAAAACTGAACAATAAATATATAGATTTGCATTTAAGATAAAAAAAACAAATTTGAGCTTTGCCGGATCAGAAGGAAATATCTCATATTGATCTCCTTTTCATATCCAATCATTAATCAATCAAAATGTTTTCCTCATGAATCTTTGTTTTAAGTGCAGATTTTTCCTTCACTATAAGATCAAACTTTCACTAAAGGAAGGTTATGTTGTTAAACTTCAATGTTTTATTATTTAAAGTATTTGCATCAATTTGTTTCATTTCTGCGTCAGTTAATGTATTTATATTTATGAATAAAAACATTAAGTGGTTAAATTAAATCAGCAGAATATGGAATTTTTTTTATTTTTTTATATCAGATTATCAGTTTGTCATGCAGTGGAAGAAAATCCAGAAGTTTAACTTCGTTCCATGCTAAAAATACTCAAAGCATAAAATCTGTGTTTTTTATATCAGATGACGATGAGGAGGGTCCTGCTCTGATGGAAGGATGAAGATGAGGAAGACGGGGAGGGAAAGGGGGAGGGAAAGAGAAGGATGCAGAGGAAGTGAAGAAGGAGGAGGGCGAGGCTGAGAAGGAGGCGCCGATGGAGCAGCAGGTGGAGGAGGACGAGGTGGATCCTCTGGACGCCTACATGGAGGAGGTCAAACAGGAAGTGAAGAAG